GTCTAAATAAAGGTTGAATGAATACTATACTATATTATACTATACTTGACTATATTTACTTTACTATACTTATTTCTAATGTTTATTTAATCAGGCAGATCTTAGTGAGATCACAGATCTCTTTTTCAAGGGAAGTCTGGGCCTGAAAGCATCTTAACCCTGTGTATTTTATCTAACGTTAAAAAACATGTTTTTGACTTGAGTTTTTTTTTTTTGTGTTAAACAGAGTTCAGACAACAACAGTGACGAGGCTGGAGGCAGTCTGGCTCAGAGACAGAGGATCATCTTCTTAGAGAACAACTTGGAGCAGCTCAGCAAAGTCCACAAACAGGTGAGATCAGGTGACGTTTACACCTGTGGACTAAACTAGTTAACAAGTTGAAGAAAACTGGACTTTCTGCTTCTAGCCTGACTGGACAAACCCGAACCTCCTGAGGGAGAATGGGTTATATGACAATGTCTGATGTTGAACTTAGGGGGAGTGGTGGTGCAGAGGCTAGAGAAGGTGGGCCTGTGATTGGAAGGTCGCTAGTTCAACTCCCTGGACTGACAACATCAAAAAGTGGGTGGAAAAAGTGAAACACCCACACCTGTCTCCACCCTCATTTGCCCCACACTGGGCCCTTCAGCAAGGCCCTCAACCCCCACCATCTGCTCCCCTGGGCGCCCTAGATGGCGGCTCTCTGCTCCACACAGAGGCTGTGGTAGCTCGGTGGTCGCCAAGTCTTCATGCGAGTTAGTTCGCTGTGGCGACCCCTGAAGAAGAAGCAGCCGAGAGAAGAAAATCTGACGTTGAACTCGGACTTCCTGCTTTAGTTTTAGAGCTTGTTCATATTAAAGTTGAGTTTCACTCATCGTCTGATGTTTTCCCTCAAAATACACAGATCTAACAAAGTTACAGATAAAAAACTCTGCTTGTCCCAGTTTTAAAGTGAAAACTGTAAATGTCAGTAAAATAATTATTAGTTATTTCTTGGATAATCACAAAAGACTGAGGTCCTGCTCACATGCATGAAAACACAAATTAATGAAATGAAATGGAAGGATCAGGGCGTTGTCTCATGTTGATATTTTTGTGATGAACTTTTCTCTTTAAGTTAAAGGTCTACAGTTTTATATGCGACACCAGATGTTTGATACACATCTGTCTAAGCCCCACCTGACAGGCAGCTAGAACCTCTCTGCATTTAAACCTCCATGTTTTCAGCTGGTCCAGGACAATGCAGACCTTCGCTGTGAGCTGCCGAAGCTGGACAGGAGGCTGAGGGCCACAGCAGAGCGAGTCAAAACGCTGGAAACGGCCCTGAAGAACGCCAAGGAGTCGGCCATGAAGGACCGCAAGCGGTACCAACAGGAAGTGGACCGTATTAAGGACGCGGTCCGATCCAAGAATATCTCCAGGAGAGGACACTCTGCTCAGATCGGTAAGAACCGCAGCTTCAGTCTTTCCCAACATGAACATGATGCTGAGTGTCACCATTTATGTGTCCCTAAAGCCAAACCAATCAGAGCGGGCCATCAGTCCCATCAGCATCCGTCCTCCTCCTCAATCATCAGGGCCGCCATCAGAGGAGGCGGAGCCTCCAGCCCACGACACCACACCCCTCGACAACAACAACCACAGTAAAGCAACGAGTTGACTCCAGGTGAGTTAACAACAGAAACCAGATCCACGTTGTGGCTTCAGGTCGTCAGGTTGAATCAAAGGACCAACATTTCTTAAAGGAACAAACATCTTCTTATGTTTGAGAGCTTCTGTAAAACTTTACCGGGACGGACTTCAACGTTCCCCGGAAGATGCACGTCTCTAAGTTGCACTGAAAACAAGGCTTCATTTTCACTGCCTGATCTGGATCTGCCTGATCTAGATCTGCCTGATCTAGATCTGCCCGATCTGGATCTGCCTGATCTGGATCTTCCTGATCTAGATCTGTCTGATCTAGATCTGCCCGATCTAGATCTGCCCGATCTGGATCTGCCCGATCTGGATCTGCCCGATCTAGATCTGCCCGATCTAGATCTGCCCGATCTGGATCTGCCAGATCTAGATCTGCCTGATCTGGATCTGCCTGATCTGGATCTGCCTGATCTGGATCTTCCTGATCTAGATCTGCCCAATCTGGATCTGCCTGATCTAGATCTGCCCAATCTGGATCTGCCCGATCTGGATCTGCCCAATCTAGAGCTGCCCGATCTAGATCTGCCTGATCTGGATCTGCCCGATCTGGACCTTCCTGATCTGGATCTGCCCGATGTAGATCTGCCCGATCTGGATCTGCCCGATCTGGATCTTCCCGATCTGGATCTGCCTGATCTGGATCTTCCTGATCTAGATCTGCCCGATCTGGATCTGCCCGATCTGGATCTTCCAGATCTGGATCTGCCTGATCTGGATCTTCCTGATCTGGATCTGCCTGATCTGGAGGGTCCACTGGGCTGTAGGTGCTTCACAAAAATCCGTAGAGGAATTTAAAAAAAAAGTCAAACTTTTCTTTGTCTGTATTAATGATTTTAACTTAATTTAAAATAATTTTTGAAGGAAGTTTTCTCATATGTTGTTCTTCAAGGTTAAGATACGTATTTTCTGTTTAATTTGTTTTATAGTTTTATCGATCTAAATTTTGTAAACAACATTTTCACTTCCTGTTGTCACAGATGTCAGCTGACTCCGGATCAGTTTCAGAACTCTCCTGTCCTCACCGCTCTGCCTTCAGGAACCAGAACTCCCATTTCTGCAGCTTTACTTGTTTATTATCACTGGTTCTGGTTCTGATTGGGTCACAAACTCTAATTGTTCTGGTTCTAAACCCGTCAAAAAGTGCTTTATTTTGTCTCTTGACTCGTTTTTAATTCTGGCTCTTAATTTATTCTATCAGAAAATACAACAAACGTTTATTTATTTATTTATTTATTTATTTGTGTTTGTTTGTTTATTTATTTATTTATTTATTTATTTATTTATTTATTTATTTATTTATTATTATTATTATTTTTAAATAAATGTAACAGAAGAGAAATGAGGATTTTTTTAAATCAAAAGGTGGATTTTTTTTTTGTCATGTCTTTAATTTCATCATCTCAGTTTTTTTTTATTACAACAAATCGTTATTTGTTGAATCTAAATTATATAGAGTAAAAAATATTTATACTGAATATTTAAAAATTTAAAAATTATTTTGTGAATGTTTTAAGACAATGATGATGGTTTTGTTTTAATGGTTTAATATTTTATTACAGAATAGATGAAAAAACGTTTTTTAGTTCACATTATTGTTTTAATTTTTATTAACAGAACTCTGCTCAGTATTTTATAAACTTTTCCTCAAATGTCTCCCCACAAAATTTATCTGAGAAGAGTGTTACCCCTATAGAGCTAAACTCACCTGAACACATCATAAACTAATGTCACCTGAAGGCATCGTGAACTAAAGTCATAGAAGTCATCATGAAACAAACTCACCTGAACACATCATGAGTAAACCGCATCACTAACTAAACTTACCTGAACCATCATAAACTAAAGTCACCTGAATGCATCATTAACTAGACTCACCTGAAAGCATCATGAACTAAAGTCACCTGAACGC